ACTATTTAGTTTCATTCAGTTTTTACAAACGAAATGTGATCAGCATGATTCATTTTTAACACATCAAGTTATGGATTGCACACATGTACACAGTCGCTGTGTGGAACAGAAAATTGAATAGGCTTTAAATTATGTAAATGTAGGCCTGGTGAGTTAAGCTGGAAAGATGAGACCCATTTAAACATTACTATCTTTTTTGGTCAGCTGGGTGTATGACACATGCAGAAATCCATCACCATGCTTAAGAGCACCTGAACCAGTTCTGTGCAAAACACTGCAGATGCTGGAAATCTATCAGTTCTATGCATCCCACCGATATATGTAAATTCCAGAGATTTACTGTAATACACACTCTCTCCTTAGAAGGACGTAGCCCCCTGGAGTCTAACCAGCTAAAACCGCATAGCTTGCCATTAATATTGCTGTCTGGCAAGCTTTCCACCTGCTTGTCCAGCTAGGATCACCATAACCATTGGGGCTTTGGCTTGCAGCGCCTGTTATTTCCCACCCCAGAACCAGACATCTAGGTGGTCCGTGAGCAACAGCTCAGACCAGTCAATCATCACCCAGAGCCGGGTCTCTCTGATGAGTGACAGCTATTATAGCCAACTGCTGCTCGGATCCCACCGTCCTGTTTAAACCCCAACAAAGTTTTTAAGCACACAGAGGTTTTATGTGGAATCAGCATCCCTGCAAATCAGCGCCCACATTTTACCTGAAAATGCCAAGCTCTTTCAGGGTGCCAGTCCACCACTAGTAATGACTGCATGTTGTGTAGGCATACTGAGAAATTAACAAGAATACTCACAACTTTCCAATCTTAATTAAAGTGCTCCATTTTTCTTCTGTTGACTAAAAGCTGCTTTACAAATCTGGAGTCACTTTCAGAAAAGAAGCTTTGTGAGACATGTTCATTTACTGGTTTGGTCAATTGGGATTTTCTTGGTTGATGTGTAGGACAGCTTTTTAAATAAAAATTTGACTGCTGTCCAAATGTGCAACATTCACAACAATCCAGAGTTATTTTTTGATATCAAGATTGAAACATGGAAAATTTTAGAAGCAGAGAAAATTGGGTACAATAACATTAATAATAATAATCCTTGCATTTGATATAGCGCTTTTCACGTCGGAGGATGTCCCAAAGCGCTTCACAGAACACACTGTAAAGTGAATTGACTGTATATTTGTGGGCGAACGCGGCAGCCAATTGCGCACAGCAATGTCCCACAAACAGTCGTAGATTGAAAATGACCAATTTATTATTGTTTTTATTTTTGGAGGGATTATTATTAGGCTCTGTGTGGAGTAAGGAAACTTGTCCAAGGTTTCGCCCTCTGCCTGGATTTGAACTCAGGTCTCTCACTTGCAAAGCGAGTGCTCTAACCACTGAGCTACAGGACTCCACAATTACCCTAATATGCAGAACAATGAGACCCAGCAAGGCACTTTCGGTCAAAAAGCCAGAAACAGTTTCACATAAGCTACTTTCTGTAAATATAGAAACAAAAACAGGTGGAGAGGGGAATTTTATTCCAATTCTCCAGAGGTTTTAGTGCTGTTCTTAATCCAAAATTCTATTATCGCAATGGATTTGTTAAGGAAAAACCAAACCCATTAAAATATCTTCCCCATTTGATGTCGTTCCTCTTAAATCATAATTCTACCACACCAGTAATTGCTGCAAATGAGAAAGCATCTTTATATTCAAGACCACTATCATCTGCACCTACTAGTTTACCACAGCAGAACTACAAAAATCAGAACTACAAAGCACCAATGGGAGTAAATGACAAAATTAAGATTGACAGTTAAGGTTTAGCGTTAACTTCACATTCAACTCCTCTGGCCTAGATGTTCTGGTGAATGCTGTGCCATGCAATTACTTAAACAGTTTCATGTAGAAAAACTCAAACAAAGTTTTGAAAAAAAAATGACAGGTCTCTTGAGAAGTATAGATCTAATTCAAGGTCTGAATAAGACATACAAATATCAAAGAATAATGTGGATGTATTCATGTAAGTCACAAAAATAACTTCCAGATACTGAATTAGCTCATCAAAGCATTATAATTGCAAGAGCGAGGTGACCATCTAGTTTCCATTCCTGACTGTGAATCTAGCGACTAGCTCACAAAAATGGAGGTGTATGATCCTAAATTCACCTTCGTCTTAGCTTGTAAGGCCATTTTGTCTCAACATTTAAGTATTCACAGTAATGAAGAAATCTTAAATTCAGTCTTCATTTGGAAAACAGCTTTCTCAAGTTCTTAAAAAGAACCCATTTCAAAATTAAGACTGAATTTATTATTATTATTGTTATTATTATTATTTTAAGAATTGTTCAGAATTCCACATGACCTTAAATTTTAAGACAAAGTGGTTTACAGGGAAAGGATAAGTAGAATTCTGGTGTGCTGGGTTCTCAACTTTGAATTGCAGCATCACAAAACAGTAATTTTCATACTTGTCTTAAGGGACTAGTTGCGTCTCAGTCAGGTAACAAGAAAATTACATTTGTATTGCGACTTTCACATCAGGAGGATGTCCCATGGCGCTGGACAATCAGGTAACCTGGCTAAGTACATAATAATCCTTGCATTTGATATTGCGCCTTATCACATCTTCAAGACATCTCAAAGAGCTTCACAGAATACACTGAAGTGAATTGACTGTCTATTTTGTAGGCGAAACACAGCAGCCAATTGCACAGAGTAGTGTCCCATAAACATTCTTGAATTGAGCGACCAATTTATTATTATTATTTATTTTTTGATGGAGATGTAAAAGTGTTTCCAAGTATCAGCAAATCGACAAAATATTGACAGCATCCATGTTCGTGATCATGGCGCTACTTAGTTTCTCCCAGTTTCCTGGCCAATAATCCCTGAAATATAATTGTGGTCACTCACTTCATGGCTGTTGGTGGGACATTGTTATGCACAAATTGGCTGCAGCATTCACCCACAAAACACACAGTTACACCACTTTACAGGATATTCTATGAAGCTTGTTGAAACATCTTGACAACATGATAAAGTGCTATATCAAAAGCAAGGTTTATTATTCATTATTGGCAAAATTCAGAGAAAGAACCATACAAAGTTTACTGCACAGACTGAAGCCATTCCTCCCATTGAGTCTGTACCAGTGCCTGTTCCCCTACTAGAGATGCAGTATCTACTCTAATCCAAGTCTCCTGGTTGTTCTCAAAATTCCTTAATAACGTGTCGCCCACAAAATATTCAGTCAATTCACATTACAGTATATTCTGTGAAGCGCTTTGAGACGTCTTAGAAGAACGTGAAAAGCACTATATCAAATGCAAGGATTATTATTAATTATCAATTTCCTTTTAAATGCCATCATTGACTCAGCTTTAACAGTCATGTATGGTAAAGCATAACATATTCCAGCAACCCTCTCTATATAAAAAAAACTTTAATCTCCCTTTTTTGCATTATGCTCCACAGACGAGTCAACTAAAAAAAGTTATAATCCATTAAATTGAACAGTCTTAATTGAACTTCAAGCAGTATTTAAAAATATCAAACTAGAATATTTCGGACACATTCTTGAGGATTAGTATGTCTAATAGTGAATTAATCACCCGTGTAGAAATTTATAGTAAAGTCCTCAGTTTATAAATCTCCTGATAGTCTCCAAATGCTGCAAAGAAATAATAATACTTGCATTTGATATAGCGCAATATGTATATTATATATATAATATTATATATAATATATATATTACATCGTTGAGTGAGTGGATTAAGTGACCAAATTATTATTAATTAGTTTATTTATTTTGAAAGGACTATTATCCCCAGAAAGTGATCTGCCAATCGACTAACAACCATGTTGCTACTTACTGCCAAGTCAACAGAGGTGTGGAGTAAGGAAACTTGCCTAAGGTTTCCCCCTGCCCTGGAATACTCTCGCTTGCGAGATGAGTGCTGTAACCAATACGCTACAGGATTATTGGAAATATTAACTGGCAAAGGATTACATCGAAGATACCTCCCAAGTTCATAAAAACGTCTCTTCGCACACATCTCCCTGACTATATCACACATAATACCAAATTTGTTAAGCATCCAAATCAGTTTGCTACAAGGCCATCGACATGTATCTTATCTTACGCTATGCATTTATATTCGAGAAGGTCCGGCTCAATTCATACCTTCAATATATAGAATACCCATTTTGTCATTCAGCCAATAGAACAACAACAACAACAAGATTGCATTTATAGAGCGCCTTTCACGTCGGGAGGACGTCCCAAGGCGCTGGACAGTTGGGTCGGGACACGAGCAGCGGGGAAACGGTCAGGGTGGGGGGAGGGAAGGGAGGGAGCGAGGAGGGGGGAAACGGTCAGGGTGAGGGGAGGAAGGGAGGGAGCGAGGAGGGGGGAAACGGTCAGGGTGAGGGGAGGGAAGGGAGGGAGCGAGGAGGGGGAAGAGAGTCGAGAGAGGAGCTGAAGGCTCGGTCGAAGAGAACAGCCAATCAAACACGAAACCAGACCAATTTGACAGCCATGAGCTCAAACAATGGGGACAGAAAGTGCAAAACACCCGCACTGTTGATTTGAGAGCCCCCACCTCTCCCCCGAAAGAAAAAGATAATAAATCGAAGACAATTAGGGTTTGATGATACATTGCTGGTCTCCGACCCAGTGGAGCAATGTGGTCATTCTCCCCCTCCCCTCCCCCCCCACACACACACACACACCACACACACACACACAGGGTCAGGTCACTCAGTGGGATTGCACAGGGCTCCAGTGCAGCCTATTTCCTGAATGAATTTCTCCTCCAGACACACACACACACTCACACACACAGCCCTTCCCTAGTGACGGGCAGCAGTATTACTAATTCTACAGGACACGCGATGACTGGAACAATTATTAAATAAAGATCATACAAAAAAAAAACCCCGGTCAGAAACACACACCACCAATACAATCTCTCTCTCTCTCTCTCTCTGTGTCTCTTCCTACCAGAGGTTACATTGCAAAACTTTTCTCTCTTTTTTTTTCTTTCTTTCTTTCTTCATAAAAGGTGGCAATAACGTGTACACTTTCCGCTCGGGTGGTGGTGGTGGTGGTGATTGTTGCAGAAGAAGGTTTAAGCGCCACCCGCCACGTAATGTTAACAGATACTACTTTTGAGGAGGAGAGAGAGAGGCAGCGCACACACAGACACAGTCACACACACACACACAGTCACACACACACACACACACACACAGTCACACACACACACACAGTCACACACCCACACAGTCACACACCCACACCCACACACACAGTCACACACACACACAGTCACACACCCACACACACACACACAGAGAGTCACACACACTCAATAAAAGTTTGACCTGATCGCGTGTGAGAGATAAAGAAAAGGTCGGTTAACAATACGAGGCGGTGAAGATGCGGCACAAACCTGCGAGGTGGAGAGGGAGAGGAAGCGTGTGCTGTGCTGTGCTGTACTGTGTGTGAGAGACGCGCTGTCGCGGGGGCGAGCGGCTGATGGAAGGTGGAGCGCGCGCGCGCACTGCGCCGCGGAGATGGAACCACGGGGACAATCGACGCGTTCCGAGGCCCCCGGACCACGTTCCACAGGCGGAACAGGGTGTTGGCATAGTGCCCCCTCCCACCCCACCCCACCCCCACCCCAACACACACACACACCAACCCCCCCCCACCACCACCCCCACACACACACACCAACACACACACACACCAACCCCCCCCCCACCCCCACCCCCACACACCAACACACCAACCCCCCCCACACCCACACACCAACACACCCCCCCCACACACACACACACCCCACACACACACCAACACACACACCCCAACCCCCCCCACACTAACACACCAACCCCCCCACACACACACCAACACACCCCACACCCCCACACACACACACCCCACACCCCCCCCCCACCCCCACACACACACCACACCACACACACCCCACCCCCCCACCCCCACACACACCCCAACCCCCCCCCCACACACACACACCCAACACACCACACCAACCCCCACCCCCCCCCACACCCCAACCCCCCCCCACACACACACCCAACACCCCACACACACACCACCCACACCCCACACACACACACACCAACCACACACCCACACACACTCACACCCCCCCACACAACACACCCCAACCCCCCCACACACACACACCCCAACCCCACCCCCACAACACCACCACACACACACACCAACACACAACCCCCCACACACACACACACCCACACAACCCACACACACACACACACACCAACCCACACCAACCCCCCCCCACACACACACACACCAACCCACACACACCCCAACCCCCACACACACCAACACACACATGCACCAACACACAAACCCCCCACACACACACACCCCCCCCCACACACACACACCACCCCCCACACACACACCCCCACACCAACCCCCCCCCCACACACACACCCAACCCCCCCCCACACACTAACACACACCCAACCCCCCCACACCACACACCCCAACCCCCACCCACACACCAACCTCCCCCCCACACACACCCACACACTAACACCAACCCCCCCCCACACCAACCTCCCCCCCACACCCACACCACCCCCGCACACACACTCTACACACCAACCCCATACACACACCCCCCCCACATACACACACCAACCCCACACCACTCCCCCCTCCCCCACACACACACCAACACCCCCCCTCACACAACCCCTCCCCCCACACACACAACTCCACCCCCCCACACAACCCCACCCCCCCACACACACCAACCCCTCCCCCACCCCCCACACACCCCTCACCCCACACACAACCCCACACACACAACCCCACCCCCCCACACACAACCCACCCCCACACACAACCCCACACACAACCCCACACACACAACCCCACCCCCCACACACACCAACCCCCCCCCACACACAACCCCCCCCCCCACCACACCACACACATGGGGTAGGTGTGGTGGGGGGGAGGGGGGGTGGTGGTGGAGGGGGTGGTGGTGGGGGGGAGGGGGGGGGGGATGGTGATGGGTGGGGGATGGTGTGGGGGAGGGAGGTGGGGGGGGGGATGGTGGGGGATGGTGGGGATGGGGGGGATGGTGTGGGGGAGGGGGTGGTGGGGGATGGTGGGGGGGGATGGTGGGGGATGGTGGGGGATGGTGGGGGATGGTGGGGGATGGTGGTGGGGGATGGTGGGGGATGGTGGGGGATGGTGGGGGGATGGTGGGGGATGGTGGGGGATGGTGGGGGATGGTGGGGGATGGTGGGGGATGGTGGGGGATGGTGGGGGATGGTGGGGGATGGTGGGGGATGGTGGGGGATGGTGGGGGATGGTGGGGGATGGTGGGGGATGGTGGGGGGATGGTGGGGGATGGTGGGGGATGGTGGGGGGATGGTGGGGGATGGTGGGGGATGGTGGGGGATGGTGGGGGATGGTGGGGGATGGTGGGGGATGGTGGGGTGGGGGATGGTGGGGGATGGTGGGGGATGGTGGGGGATGGTGGGGGATGGTGGGGGATGGTGGGGGATGGTGGGGGATGGTGGGGGATGGTGGGGGATGGTGGGGGATGGTGGGGGATGGTGGGGGATGGTGGGGGATGGTGGGGGATGGTGGGGGATGGTGGGGGATGGTGGGGATGGTGGGGGATGGTGGGGGATGGTGGGGGATGGTGGGGGATGGTGGGGGATGGTGGGGGATGGTGGGGGATGGTGGGGGATGGTGGGGGATGGTGGGGGATGGTGGGGGATGGTGGGGGATGGTGGGGGGATGGTGGGGATGGTGGGGGATGGTGGTGGGGGATGGTGGGGATGGTGTGGGGGATGGTGGGGGATGGTGGGGGATGGTGGGGATGGTGGGGGATGGTGGTGGGGGATGGTGTGATGGGGGGGGATGGTGGTGTGGGGGGGGTGGTGGGGGGTGGGGGAGGGTGGTGGGAGGGGGGAGGTGTGGGGGGGGTGGTGGTGGGGGATGGTGGGTGGTGTGTGTGGTGGAGGGGGACGTGCGGCTGAGAATAATGTAACATTTTGATAAACTTGACTTCAGAGATGACCTGATGTCATATCGGCTCTCACAGTGAGTGCACATGTGTTTCTGGGGGGGAGGGGAGGGGGGGGGTCGCTGTGTGTTGATGAGGGTCCCCCCCACCCCCCGAGACCTGGGCGTCTCTTGTCGGCGAGAGGTTTGACTTTGCGGTTAATGGGGCCGCGCTGGTGTATGACGGCTTCCCGTGTGCTGTTGAGCGGCTGCTGGGAGGGGGCGGGGCAGAGCGGCTCCCTGTCTGCACCTGATTGGACAAAGGGAAACAACCAATGAAAGGCCAGAGTGTAAGACCTTGCTGCGGATTGGTCAATACCTGAGGGCCGGGAGGTGCAGCGTCACCGCTGATTGGCCTGTGCTCGGGCTGACCTGATTGGCCGGGGCCGGGGAGGGGGCGGGGCCGTTTTACTCGCAGAGTCCCATCTGGTGCTTCAGTTGAAGGTTCTTTGAAGTTGCGCAGCTCCCAGAGAGGGACCGGGGGCCGCGCGCTGCCGCGGTGAGCCCCGCGCTGGAGCTCGCGGCTCAGGGGCGCCGTCCAGACGTCTCAATAATAATAATAATAATCCTTGCATTTGATATAGCGCTTTCCACGTCGGGAGGATGTCCCAAAGCGCTTCACAGAACACACTGTAAAGTGAATTGACTGTATATTTGTGGGCGAACGCGGCAGCCAATTGCGCACAGCAATGTCCCACAAACAGTCGTAGATTGAAAATGACCAATTTATTATCGTTTTGTTTTGGAGGGATTATTATTAGGCGTGTGGAGTAAGGAAACTTGCCCAAGGTTTCGCCCTCTGCCTGGAATTGAACTCGGGTCTCTCACTTGCAAAGCGAGTGCTCTAACCACTGAGCTACAGGACTCCACAAAAAGCGCTCCGCAGCATCTCGCTGGGCAGTGGCTGTATTTTCCAGCCAAACGCGACCACCACCAACTTCCTCACGGCAGTGTCCCGCAAACAGCCGTGATGCGCTCTCGGTACATTTTTTTGTAGCCGATTATTATTATTTTTTTTGTGTGGGGGATCAGTCATTATCACCGTGCTTAAAAGTATCCAAACCGGAAAGTTCACCACACATATATATAGATATATATCTATATATATGGTTATGTCTACCAACTACACATGGAAATAATTGTGAATGGACAATAAAGACGATAGTGGACAAAGAGAAAACAGCTAAAACAACAAGAACAAAATTGCATTTGTATAGCCCCTTTCACGTAAGGAGGATATCTCAAAAGTGTTTTACAGGATTTACTGTAAAGTGTAGTGACTAGTATTTTGTAGGCCAATTCTGTGCACTTCTCTATCGACTACTTTTAACTGATTCCCCCATCTTTTTGGATACTTACTGATTCCACACTGATTCCATAGTCCAATAAAATATTATTCCACGGAATTACGTTTGCAACTGCATCCTCCCGACATGAAAGGCACTATATGAAAGAGGTAGAGGTGGTGTCCCAGTGGCACCACCCCCACCTCCCAAGTGCAAGCACTAAGGATTTTTTTACAATGTGGATTGTCAGAATGATTCTTGACCCAATATTTGCAGCATGACACTCTGATCGCTAAGGGTTATCATAGAGGCAATTTTTGAGTGGGAAATTGGAATTAAAACAATGAACTCTTATTTACAATCTAGCAAAATTAGCAATTTGGGATAATTGCAAGTGCATATAGATGCCTAACAAATTAGAACATTATAAATCAGTTGTAAATGAACATAGAATACCTGTAATCCTTTTCATTGGTAGTCAATTACCTACATAAGGGAACCTGTAGTAATAAAAATAATTCTTGCATTGATACAGCACGTTTCATATCAGGAGGATATCTCAAAGTGCTCCACAGGATTTGACTGTGAAGTGTAATTAATGTGTATTTTTAGGTGAACGTGCAGCCAATTTATGCACAGCAATGTCCCACAAACAGCTATAAAATCAATTTTATTTCAGGAATTGTTGACCAGTGTTTTCTGTATATATAACAACTTGCATTTATATAGCATCCTTCATGCAGGGTAGCGTCCTGGAACGCTTCACAGTGGCGGAGTCTAACAGCGAGCCAAGGGGAGAGGGAGAGGGAGGTGACCGCAAACATGATCAAAAAGGAAAGTCTTT